ATAAAATCTTTATTTCATTTTTATGTGGTGCTGAGGATCGAACCCAGTGCCTCATGTGTGCTAGGCGAGCATACTACCACTGAGCCATAACCCAACCTCATTTTAACCATTTTTAAGTGTACAATCCAGTTGCATTGAGTATGTTCACAATGTTGTATAACTGTCACTACTATCCATTTGAATTTTATTACTCTTTTTCAAGGAGACTGTGGAGATCCACTCAATATGAATTATTCATTTTTCAGTCCACTAAGAAACTGAAAAGTCAGTTCTAATTAGAATGAACATGAAGAAACTAAAGTTAAAATGGTCAACTCAACTTTCCTGGAGACCAACAAGCCTGTATAGTGTATTTTTACCTCTAATCCTCGGCTAGTCACTTTTCTTTTTGTTACTCTTGGTGTGGGAGTACAAATATTTTTATTTTTTATTTTTGTACCAGCAACTGAACCCAACCCAGGGGCACGTAACCACTGAGCCATATCCATAGCCCTTTTTATTTTTTGAGTCAGGGTCTTGCTAAGTTGCTGAGGTTGCCCTTGAACTTGCAATCCTCCTGCCTCAGCCTCCTAARCTGCTGGGATTATAGGCGTGTGCCACTACTCTTGGCAAAGTACAAATCTGTGTGAAAGAACAAGGAGTAAAAGTTTTAATTCAAATTGAAGTTTAAAATCATGAGGTTAAAAATAAATAGCATATAAATTGGTCATAACACATTTAAGCAGAAATATGGCTACCAATTAAGAAGTATATATTAAGTACTAAGTACCTGTTATGTGCTAGATTTTTGTAGACCACAACATTTAGTTTTGATCAAGACACAAATATATGTATATATATATGTATAAGTAATAATCAAAGACATAAAATGTCATTGGCAGATAAAAGCTATAGATCTATATATAGAAAAAAAATCTGTATATACCTGATAAACAAAACTCAGTATGTGCTAAATAGTGAAGCTTTTACAGATGATCTAGGGCTGAAATTGGACTATTCTTTTTTTTTGGGGGGGGGTGTTGTGATTGAATCCAGGGCCACAAGCATGCTAGGCAAGTGTTCTACCAATGAATTACATCCTCAGCCCTGGAGTTGAATTTTGAAGAAAGAAAACAATTTATAAAGTAGAGGAACTAGGCATGGTGGTACTTGCCTGTCATTCCAGAGATTGAGGGAACTGAGGCAGTAAGATTCCAACTTGGAAGGCCAGTCTAAGCAATGTAGTGAGACACTATCTAAAAAAATAAAAGGACTGGGATAAAGGTCAGTGAYAGAGCACCTCATTGAGCGATAGGCTCAATCCCCAGTCCTATGGGATAGAGTAATTTTGGATCAAGGAATAGCATGGATAACAGCACAGAACAAGGATGAACACAAMTACGACTGGGTTTAGGATTTTCACAGAAGCAATCAGGCAAAGGAAGTAACTCCTTAGTAAGGCCTGAAGCAACTTAGTGAGATCCTGTCTCAATATAAAAAATAAAAAAGGACTGGGATGTGGCTCAGTAGTTAAGTGGCCCTGATTCAATTCTTG